TTTATTGGCTCTATCCCTTTCTTGTTCTGTGACTTAACTACTCCAAGTCTTATTGTTTACCTAAGAAATGAAGGAAATAATTGTGCCCCTAGTGCAGGAGTTCTGGGAGAACCAAATGCAATGAAAAAAATACACAGTTTAGTCCATTTTTGCTGCTATAACAAAATACCATAAGCTGGATACTTTATAAACAATGGAAATATATTTCCCATGGTTCTGGAGGCTGGGAAGTTGAAAATCAAGGCACTAGTAGCAGATTCACTGTCTGGTGAGGACATGCTTACTGTGTCCTCACTAGGTGGAGGGGCAAGACAGCTCTCTGGGATCCCTTTTATAAGGCCACTGATCCCATTCAGGAGGGCTCCATCTTCATGAACTAATCAGCTTCCAACGACCCCAACTTCAATTACCATCAGAAATGGGATTAGGTTTAAATGTAAGAATGTAGGGCCTGGGTACAGACAATCCAACCATAGCAATATATATGTAATCTCCACGTATGGTGTTAGGCACATGGTAGGGGCACAGTAAGTCAGTAATGGTAGCTATAAGATTAGTGAGGGAATGGAACAGGGGATCAGGGGAGTTTCTTCTCATGTGCTTCATTGCTTTTGTCAGTTTAGGGACAGTGTCTTAAAATAGCACATATGTTGAAACCGAAAGCTACTCCAAAAGAATCTACTTGTAAAGTCATAAAAATATTAACTTCTGCTCAATTTGTACTGACAGATCCCAACATTTCAGAATTAGCACCTGGTGTTTAGTGGACGGAAAATAGATTTTGTTGTCATTGTGGATATCCAGAGTGGAAATGTGGGGAAACATAAACATTTAAAAGCAAAATGTCTCTCTCTCTCTCTCTCTCTCTCTCTCTATATATATATATATATATATATATATATATATATTTCAATCCTATATCTGCTCATATAGGATTGAACCCTAGGCTGGCAATTTATAAATGCTTAAAAAAATATTTAATGAAGTTTAGTCCCTGTCTCTCCTATTACTTACACAGAGTGGTGTAAATATTTTTGCTGTTGATACAGTTGAATCTTGCCTCATTCTGTTGCAAAAGTGGTACTTTGAAACTATCTCTCTGTAATCTAAGAAGCAGTCCTTTTTTTCTTGTTGGCATCACAGTAGTGGTAAAATGAATGGGGGGCAGAAATCCTGCTGTTCATCTGATCTTCACAGATCTAACTGGAACTAACTAGCTTATTTCTGGTGCAGAATAGATGTTAAGAAAGTTCAGAGTTAGAGAAGATAATGCTAAGTGAAGTTAGCCAATTCCCCAAAACCAAATGCCGAATGTCTTCTCTAAGGAGGCTGATTCATAGAAGGGTAGGGAGGGGGAGCATGGGAGTAACAGACGAACTCTAGATAGGGCAGAGGGGAGGGAGAGGAAGGGAGGGGGCATAGGGTTAGAAATGATGGTGGAATGTGATGGACATTATTATCCAAAGTACGTGTATGAAGACACGAATTGGTGTGAGTATACTTTGTATACAACCAAAGATATGAAAAATTGTGCTGTATATGTGTAATAAGAATTGTAATGAATTCTGTTGACACATATAAATAAGAAAAAAATAATTAAAAAAGAAAGTTCAGCTACTCTGGGACTCAGTTACATACCAGAGATGCTAAGCAGGCTAGTGAGGCTTGCACAAGATGCCAGAAGATGGGTATGTATCATCATAAGTTTGTCATGATGGAACTTTGAAAAATTCATTTGAAAAGGACTTTGGAAAATCACATACAACATAAACAGGCGACTATACTTTACCTTTTAACATATTCCACTGCTTTTCAGACAGACAGAAGAATTGGTTCTCTATTTTGTATGTATGAGTGGCAGTAGGTCAAAGCAAGTGGTCTATACTGCAATATACCTTTCTCACACCTCTCCACATTGAGGGATTCTTCCTTGCTTTCTCCCAGTTGAGCATCAGAGCCATCAGTCTTTCTGCACATCATCATCTCTAAACTTGGTCTCCCACTCTCATTTCCATTAAGGCAAACATGAGTGATAAGTAGCTGAAAGTTAGCTTTTTCCCAAATAATATTTCCATTTTGTAGGGGATAGATCTTTATGGAAGAAAAATCTGGGGTGGAATTTTTAATATTATTCAATTTGGAGCTTGGGAGGGTGTGGGGTGGTGTAGGATATTCATAGTTGTATCTAAGCTTCTGACTACTTTGAAATAATAATGGTGAGGCTTTGCCTTTTCTCTCTCCATACCAGTCCCTTGTGGCCTCTTGCAGTTCCTTCCTGTATAGTTCCTAGTACTATAGAATGGACTTGGCAGTGACAGCAACAGTACCCATGGATAGACTTGAGTATATTGTGGTTTTCTGAAAAGGGAACTGCACAGTCCAGGCAACTTCCCTCAAGCAGATGCAATGATTCTTGTTGGTGCACATTTCATTTTCTGATCAGTTTGTTCTTAAATTAGTACAAATGAATAATTCTGATGTTTCCATGAATAAGCAGTCAATTAACCTGGATAAGGAGCAAGCAAAACAAAAAGGGGAGATTTTTATCAGTTTTTGCTTATCTACCTTATTCTGCTAGTATTTACTTCTGGTTATAATTTTACTCTACTCACCTCCCGCCACACCCACCCAACGAATATATCTACATGCACACACACATATTCACTCTGCCTTTGAGAATCACAGGCTAAAGACAAGTGATTTTTTTGCTTTGTGACTAGTTTGGCATAGATGTCATTAACCCTTTCCTACTTGACCACTTTTGAGGGGATTCAATATGTCTGGAATCCTCTGGGGTTCTGAATACTCTTTCTAGAGTTTACTGCATCTTGTTCACCCAGGGTTTGACAAAAATAGAATTCTTAATTTGCTCTTGGAAAACTTCTCATTTTATATTGTAGCAGTCAGAAATTATTTGGATTGTAGTGTCATTTAACTCTTTAGTAATATTAATGCTACCCTTTTATTAAAAGTCTGGCAGTGTTTCCTTTTTAGGTACAGTTGGTCTCTTCAGTCATTTAACTTTGAATCCAAACCATTCATGGATTGGGTGAATAGTAGAATCCCAAAATAGTCAGACTTGTGTAGGCTCACATTTGCATGAATCTATATTGCCCCCAGACTTGGTGAATAAAAGGATATTACATATTTCCATTCTAGAAACAAAGTTTGATTCTTCAAGAATATGTACAAAAATAAGATAAAAATTATCTTGACATGACTCCCAGAAAATATGCAGATTAAAAATGGAACAAATGGCTCTACCTAATGGGAAGACAGACCCTTCAAAATCAGTATTAATCATGTCCCATTTGAAAAGTTACATGTGACTCTCATCACCATATTTTGGGAAAAATGATGTAATCTGTTTTCTTCAAGAGACTTTTAAAATCCTGGAATGAGATGTTTTTTAGAAGGAGCATTTCTGTATTTCTACACTGTCAACTAGCAATTAATAGATTGAGCCTATGCCTGAGAATGCTTCTAGTTTCAAACGTATGTGTTAGTGACTATAAGAAGTCTCAACATTTGTTTCCTAAAGGCATAAAACAGAGGTTTATTTAGGAGAGTAGATACACATTCAAGGGACAATGGGGTGGGGGAACAATCTCACAAGAGACATACCTTTTGGGTAAAGCAAGGAATATGCACTCAAGGGAGAATGTGGGCTATCTCCAGAGGGAGAGATGACAACCCATTGGTGTGGAGTGTTAATATTTACAGAAGGTCGTTGCTAGGGGCTGGACAAGAGATGGAGGTGGGGTGGAGCTACACAATTTTGTGCCAGTTTTTCCTTTGCTTGCACATTTCCCTCATTTTACAAGGGCATGGACCAAGGGCATGTACCTTAAGCTCAAGATTTACAAGTGCGTTTTCTGCATCTCAGTGGCTTGTGGATGTTTCCTTTAAGATTCAGTATATCTCTCTCTTTATCCTAATTCCCTATCTCATTTCCCTCCCCGAGATATTGATCCCTTAATCTTGAGACTTGGTGAGGGGTGAAGATCCATCTTAGGGCTACTTCAGGCCACCAAGAGGTGATGACCTCCTAGTCAGGGATCAGAAGTCTCACCCTCACTGTTATAAAGAAGATAGACACTCTCAATACATTTTAACATGTTGAATACATGGAAAAATTAACAATTTTAAACTGTATTTAAAACAATAACAAGTGATTGGTGTCTTCACTAGGGACAGTAGCATATCAGCATGTAATTGTGATGGGGAAAGTGAAATTTTCTATTTACTTAACAGTTTGTTGCTAAAAGATGAGTGGTATCAGGAAGGCCAGAGGTTATATTTGGAAAAGTCACCTAAGGCTGGGAAGAACCCATAGGCTCCGCCAGGCAAAGGTTTATATTCTCTCAGTTCTAAGATGAACTGCAAAGGGCAAGATGAAGCAGTAGAATCCAAAAACTGAGGCTGGGGGCAAAAGGCAGACCTGGGCAGAAAGTTTGGCAACATGGAGTTGGGATCCCAGGCAATTGGCATCCAGCAGTCGGCACTAGGGAGGAAGGGGATTAGAGAGAAATGCACTTCAGAAAGTGCCCCTAGTGAACACAGAGAATAAACTGTAAAGATGAAAGTGTGTCAAAAAGGCTCCACCTGCTTATTTGTGGACGGTTGAGGACATTCTGTAGGTGATAGGCATTAACTATAACCTAGGCACACGAGCTTCCTGTAACTGGGCTGAGCATATTGATATGTTTAGGTCAAAAGAGTAGGTCTGAGTATGTGCTATGCATTTCCGGGTGGGCGCTGCCTTCTCAGCTTGGCTCTCATTTCCCATTACTGCTTTGCTGTGACTCACTGATGGCCTGCCACATGTCATTAGGCAGCTCAGCTGCTGCTCTCATTTCTCCCAAAGGTATACAGAGGTTTGCATCTTGGCTTTTACATTTTTTTTCCTCCGAGAGCTGGAGGAAGTGGCCTTTTCACAGTTTGGTTCATTGAGTTGAATACTTATCGTGTCTTACAGTTTCAATATTTCTTGCTCATAGGTATTTGATCCTGATGACCTTTATTCAGGGGTTAATTTCTCCAAGGTTCTGAGTACTCTTTTAGCTGTCAACAAAGCAACAGAAGGTAAGTAAAGTTTGTGATTTATGAGTTCTGGGTGACATTTTTGAATCCATGTGTTTCTGATTGTTCTAAGAGTCAACCATGCCCTGGATTGATTAATTGGTGAAAATTTGCCCCTTTTGCCCCCAAATAAACCCCAACAAATATCAAATACTTTAATTTTTTCATGGTTTAAACATACTTATCACCATATTTAAACATGCATATCACAGAGGTATTCTAATGCCCTTAGTACAATAATAGGAACAAAGAAAACCCAATTTTGTTCCAAAACTTTTGAATAGTCAACTCAGTATAGCAAGACAAAAAAAAAAAAAAAAAGAAAAAAAGAAAAGACCAGTTCCCTCTTTTTAAAATAAAGTTTACCAAGTATAGCCATCACTTCCCTTTCCACACTAGGAACACATTTTTCTCATAGTCTTCCCTGTGCCTGTGTGTATGTTGAAGGAACCCCTCAGTAACCTTGCACTGGAAATGAAACTTCAAGGTCTTAGTAAATTAAAAGTATCTTTTGTTTAAATGTTTACAATCAATTACATTGGAGGTTATTAAATATAAATCCTAGTAAATTTGAGGAAAGTGTTGATAAACTTAAGAGTGGAATTTCACTCCTTCTATGATACAGTGTCTTACCTACAGTGGTAGTAATAATCATAGTTCAAATTCTTTGAACCCTTTCCCTGGGTCTAGCCTGTCCTAGGAGCCCTAAGTGGTCTTATTCCATGTTTGAAACACACCTGGGGATAGGCATTATTATTATTAGGTCCCTATTATCAATAAGGAAAGTCAGGTCCACAGTTGCCCAACTAGAAGGTGGATGAGTTAGAATTCAAACTCATACCTGACTGACTTGAGAGCCCTTGAACTCAAATCTGAATCTTCCTGCTCAAACTGTTAGAGAGGCAAGAAGCTGTGTGCCCAGCACTGCCAGGTTTTACCAAGAAAGTGGAAGACATACTTCCCCTGCCCTTGGAAAAATTACCATCTATTTAGGGAGACTCAACTTACCCAGCAGAAACAATTGGAGAGCAAGAACAGACAATATAATCAAGTGCCAAATAAGATGGAACATCTAGGAAGCTATCAAGTAATTATAGTTTTAGTCAAAAGAGCTGTATATAATAGCAAGACATGGAAAATACTTCTTTAAAGTTGTTCTTTTGCTATTTGAAAAAAATGCATTTGAGCTATTGCAAGGCGTATAGCAGAAAGTACAGCTAATTCAAGTAACTATATTTAACACACATGACAACTATCCAGTTCTGGGCAGGGAGGATCATATAATTCTAACATTATGCCATACAAATTATATGTTCCTTTGCCAAACTCTCCTAGCAAGTTTTACAGTCTCTTCCCTTGCCGCAGATATTTATAAAAATACAAGAAGGTGAAAGTTAAAACCCACGGCATCAAGGAAATTACTTGGATACTGAGCTTGTCGCCTAGGGAATGTTTGGGCTTTAGACTTTTGCAGTTTATATCTTTTAAAAATAAATGGAGAGGAAAAGAACTCTCATTTGAATTTGTCAAGAAGCCAGATTCTCTCTTTAGTACACTTTCAGCATACTGAAAACATCCAACTCAGCTTTGGTCTGATCAAATTTCACAAGGTTTCAAGGAAGAGAAGACTCCTGAGTTTGATTTTAAACAACAAATTATTCTAGTATCAAGATCGCATCTGTCTCAGACACGCACTCTTTCTTATTCTCATTCTCCACTCTTCCCACGGCACACTAGGGAGATTTTAGATTGTATGTGCCACATAAATCCTTACATGTAAGAAAGAGCCACTGAGTTATGGGCCAGAAAACAGGGCGAGAAATTTAAAATATTTCAAAGTAATAAGAGCCACAAACAGCTGTTTGGTACCCGATATAGTTCTGCCTTGGATAACAGGGCATATAGTTGCGACTGGTTCAGGAAGGAAGAGTTGTAGGGAATGGGTTAAGAGAAAATGTGGTTCTGTCGCTGCTTTTCATTCTACTGGAGAGCAATGGCCAGTAAGGTTAAGAACAAGAAGTTGGCCACCAAAAAGGGAGGAGGCAGGGGTGGGGGTGGGTTTGAAACACAGTTGGCATGTTCATAACAATACCATTGGAATTATAGCTAGGATGCTTTTTATAAAGTCCCATACAAGATAATGTTATATTGTAGATGGTTTTCTGACCTGAGTGCTTCCTTTACCATGCCTTTTCCTCTTTTCACAGATCAGCTCTCAGAAAGACCATGTGGACGTTCCTCTTCTCTTAGTGCTGCTAACAGTTCTCAGACAAACCCACAGGGAGCAGTTTCTAGCACAGCTCCAGGGCTGCAAAAGCAGGCAAAGACAGTGGTAAGTATAGTCCCGAATTCTCCCTGTCTGTTTTAAAATTCATAAAATAGGACTCATATCCCAGTTGCATTTTCATATGTGGTGAAATTGTCATTCTGTTTGTTTTGGGTGCCACCAAGAAAACTAGCTATAAACTAAACACCCATTCAGGCTAGACTTTGGAACAAATCAGGCATGTGGGGCCCAGAGTCTGAAAATCAGGGTTAAAGCCCTAGCTTGGCTGCTTATTAGAATCTGGCAAGTTACTTAACTGAGAGTGCTATGCAAATGTAAGTTATGACAATTCTGGATGACACTTTGCTGTTATTTTCCCTATTCCTTGGTTTATTAGAACTAAGTGGGTACCTGGCACTTTAGTAGGCAATCAATAAATATTCAGTGCTGTTCTTAGCATTATTGTCACCTTTATTTTTCTCTTTGAGTAAGACTTGATTTTAAATATCAGCCTATGATGAACTTTTATATTGAGATCTCCCAGTTGTCTTTGCATTTGGTCTTTTTTTGTGTGTGTGGGGGAGGGTATGGGGATTTAACTCAGGGGCACTTGACCACTGAGCCACATCCCTACCCCCCCCTTTTTATATTTTATTTAGAGACAGGGTCTCACAAGTTGCTGAGGCTGGCTTTGAACTCATGATCCTCCTGTCTCAGCCTCCAAAGCCGCTGGGATTATAGGCACGTGCCACCATGCCCTGATGCATTTTATCTTATTGGGAGTTTTTATTTGGGAGGAAATGCTCCATCTTGTCTTTGGGTGAAGCCTCTCTTCTCTGTCAAAAGCCACCTGCTCCCTGTAGGTCATCATGTCCTGTTACTTCCAAAGCAGTTAAACGGGTGGTTCTTAACCTTTCTGAGACCACAGATCTCATTGAGAAGCTGATGGCACCACACCATTTGTACCCTATTAAATTTTATACCAAAAGTCATGTTTATGAACTCGTTTGGGTAAAGAGCCATTGTGCTTATTATTTTCTCAAAAGGGTCTCAAAAATTTAAGCCCAATTGATGCAAGACAGGCTAAGATTATTCCTAATTTAGTTAGCTATGAGATATTTGATCTTTGCATGGGACCAAATGTAACCAAATTAAGATGTTCTTAGTAATTGGAAGATAGGAACAGATTTCTGTGAGAGTTGATTAGTACCTAATATGTGGGCTAAGATTGTGTGTTGGGTAGAGGCAAGGTGAAATCGTTTATCATCACTCACTCTATTACTTAGGTTGGTTAAAATAGGTATCTTTAGATAATAGATGAAGGGAGAGGGAAATGAAAGCTATGACCCCATCCAAAATACACATTCTGACAATGCAAAAATTTGCATAAAGTTTCAAGGGGTTAATTAATACCTCTGGAGGGCCATTCATAGACTCCTAAGTTTAAAAATCAGAACTGAGATGGATATAGGGTTTTATTCTTGGTCACTCAAGGATAGGTCTTACCTAAAACCATATAATTTCTACCGTGCCTCAATTAGATGCCTCTTAATGTGCTGTGGCTTTTGTTTCTCTAGGAGATGACGGAAAATGGAAGTCACCAGTTGATAGTGAAGGCAAGATTCAACTTTAAGCAGACTAATGAAGATGAGCTGTCAGTCTGTAAAGGGGACATCATTTATGTCACTCGAGTTGAAGAAGGAGGCTGGTGGGAAGGCACATTAAATGGGAGAACAGGCTGGTTCCCTAGTAATTATGTCCGAGAAATTAAATCCAGTGGTAAGTGAGACCTTTAACTGTCTTTTTGAATATGACTTTTGTGTTTTCTTATTGAAATTTTCTTATTGGAAATCTTGTAGTTTTAATTGGTTAACAGAAACTGTTTATACTTACATGTGTAGTCAAAAATAAGACTAGAACAGAACTGGGAAAAATCTGTGGTTAGATATTTTGAAACAAAGTTGTATTTAGATTACTTCAAGGCAACAGAAAGCTAAAAAAGCAAAGGAATTCAAAGCTTAGACAACTGTTCCACCTTAACTATGTCCCTTTCTGTCTACTAATTCAGGCCCCTGTAATATAGTACATAGTCCTTCCTGCTACTCTGAGTCTCCATGGCAGAATACAATAATAAAGGAGGCCAAGTGCTGACTTCCTTTTTTAGCCCTAAGTAGACCTAAGACTACATGCCTCAAAGATGTGTTTGAGAGATAACAATCATAGGGTTGGAGGAAGTTGTCTGGCTGCTTTATTAACATTATTGTCTTTAACCTATTGTATGTTCTTAAGAAAGAAGGGAAACTCTACTTATATTTCAAAAACCAAACTAAAACCAAACCAAACCAAACTAATTCCAATACTCTGATACATAAAAGCATGTTACAACACAGACTTCACTTTCTAATAATATCTATCCAAGGGCTCCTTTAAGTTAATAGCTCTTTGTGTGTTATCTCTTCTGTAGGTATCTTCATTGCTTTTTTTTTGGGGGGGGGGCTGGGAATTGAACACAGGTGCAATCTATTACTGAGCTACATTCCCAGACCTTTTTCATTTTTTGAGATGGGGTTTCACTAAGTTGCCTATGGCCTTGCCAAGTTGCTGTGCCTGGCCTCTAGTTTACAATCTCCGTCTCAGCCTCCCAAACTGCTGGGATTACAGATGTACACAACTACACCTAGTTTCATTGCTTTCTTAATGCCTCCAAATTGCTACTTTTAATTAATAAAATTATAGATTCACTGTAAATAAAATGAAACATTATGGAAATATAGTGTAGACAATAAAAGTTCCTTTTCTCTTTACCCCTCCTCCTAGATAACCATTGTTAGAAGCTTCTCCCAAAAGCATTTAAGATAAAATTTAGTTTGCACACTTTCTGTGTTTGGATAAAAAGGGGCATATCCTTTAATGGAATATGTTTACTACCAGATTTGTAATTATTTTTGTGGTGCATAGACTTCTCAACATTTTTCCCCAATACTGGGGATGGAACCCAGCTCATGCATGCTAGGCAAGCAATCTATCACTGAATCACATCCCCAGCCTCCAGTATTTTTAATTATTGGGAATTGAGATGTTTCAGTTAAGCCTTGAAGTATTTTCACAGGCCTTGCCTGGAATTTCCTTGGTTCTGATGATTTTTACAGCTGATATTTACCCATGGCTACATCTTTCCATTGATATAATCTGCTTGTTAGGACTCCTAAAACATTTTCCAGATTTACTCTGACGTTTTTTCCTTGATTAAGTGTCATCATCTGCAGAACCAAAAGGATCAGGCCTTGTTGCCTGATCTGGAAATTCCAAGCATTGTTGAGGGGACATGGGAAGTGCATAGGATGTCCTCACTTTGATGGCTTTCATAATGGTGTCCCCTATTATGATACCTTTTGTAGCAGTCTGGTCACTCCTTTGTGGACTGCCCCAGACTGTTAGTTCTGGTGTCCAACCCCTTCCCTTCAATTTTTTTTCTATATGCTCTTTGATTTGGGACTCATATGGTAAATTCTGACTCTGAGTCAAGCACCTAGGTAATCCCTAGAAATAGCTAAACCAGATGTTAAGGATAGGTCTGAGATTTGGGAGACAGGAGGCCTGCTAGTCAGAGATGGCCTAGGATTAGAAGTTTATGAAACAGCATCTCTCATTAGCTCAGTACAATAGTTTCCTAATTGGTGTCCTTGGTCCTGTTCTTGTCACTTCTGTAATGTGATCTAAATTCAGGAGCCAGAGTGATTCTTTCAATACTTAACTTGAGTCACAACTTCTCATCTCAAAAAGGATAAAGGCCGTGCTGGGGATGTGGCTCAAGCGGTAGCGCACTCACTTGGCATGCGTGCGGCCCAGATTCGATTCTCAGCACCACATACAAAGATATTGTGTCTGCTGAAAACTAAAAAATAAATAAATATTAAAAAATTAAAAAAAAGATAAAGGCCAAAGTCATCACAATAGCCTAGAAGTCCTCCAGGATCCTGCCTCTTTTCTGACCTCTGATCCATCACTCATTCCATTCTAGCTATACTGGCCTCTTGCCTGCCTGTGCCAGACAGACTTCGGTCTCCTGTATGGTCCTTCTATGTGGACCATCTTCCTCAGATGTCAACATGGTTGCTTCCCTCACCTCCTTCTGCTCTGCTTACTTTCTGCTTCACAGTAGAGACTCCTGGTCACACAGGAGAAAATCAAACCCTGTCCCTACTGCCTCTATGCCCCTCTCCTGCTTTCTTGCTTGCTTTCTTTCTTTCTTTCTTTCTTTCTTTCTTTCTTTCTTTCTTTGTCATTTCTCTCCATATAACATGCTATATTACTGCTTATTTAATTTACTCTCTAAATCTCACCATTTAAATGTAGACACCACAAGAGCAGGGATATTCTTTTCTATTTTGCTTGTGCTCAGTAAATATTTATAAAATGAACGAATATCATATGGTATGTAATGAAATTCATTGTTTTCATTAAGTATCTCTTGGGTACTCAGGGCATCTAGAACAATCTATTCCTCATGGATCTGCCCCTTAGGACCTTCTGATAGTCAAAATAAGTGCGTGTACAACTAACAGGATAGGCTAGAGTAAGTGACAGAGAGATCTAAATAAGATGCTGGTGGAGCAGAAAGACCCAATTCAATTAACAATGACATACATGGGTCTAAGAACTTGAACTGGGTCTTAAAAGATGAAGAAGATAGAAGGTTAGGGGAAGGTGGTAAGTTAAAGCACAAAAGTAGGAAAGCATGGTATATGGGTGGCAGAGTGATTTGGGTTTAAATTAGGTACATAAAGAGTATGACTGAGGTCTTGAGCTAGAACTGCATGAAGAGGGTGCCAATGTAAAGTTTTAAGCAAAGGATAGCATGTGGTTTGAGAAGATATTTCTGGTGGTAGGAAGATCTTTCTGTTGGGGGCTGAATTTCAGGAATTCCAGCAAAGGCTATTGCTGAGGTCCAGGCAGTCTAGATAGTGGTATAGACTAATCTTGGTGATAGTAGGGAGGAAGAGAAGTGGATAGATACAGTACATGTTGTTGAAACAATTAAAAACTTGCCAGTGATTAATTATGAGGACAAGGGAAGAGGTGAGGATAATTCTACATCTAGGGGTTCAGCTTGATGGTGGGTTCTTTAGGGCATGCACTATAACCCATCCAGCCATCCAGTAAAGATGTATTTCCCATGATTAGGATATTAATTCTGTCCTGGGAACTGGTAGAGTAGAGAAGAATAAAACATGACTCTTGCCCTCATGTTACTTAAGGCTAGGTACTCAGGGCATCTATAACAATCTATTCCTCATAGACTCTGCCCCTTAAAACTTTTTGATAGTCAAGATAAGTGCATGCACAACTAACAGGATAAGCTAGAGTAAGTGACATAAACAGAGATCTAAATAAGAGGAAGCTATTAGAATATAGTATGGTAAGTTCAGGGATAGAGCTACTACAAGGTTATATAGAAAGTGGCAAGGAAAAGAGAGGCATCTAATCATCCTGATAGGGAGGTCAAGGGGAACTTATTGATCTTTATGCACCTTTCTGTCTCCATAACACAGGGCTTTAAACATAAGACATGTTTTATCCATACTTATTATAGTTGGATATGGTTTGAACATGTCCCCTAAAAGTTCACGTGTTTGAAACTTGGCCCCTAGTGTGGCAGTGTTAAGATGTTGTGGAACTTTTAGAAGTTGGGCCTAGTAAGCAATGATTACTCACCAGGGGCATCACACTTGGAAGAGACTAATGTAGTCCTTGAAGAATGCCAGTTAGTTTCTGTGTGAATGGGTTGTTATAAAAAGAGTAAATCTGGACCCTGAACATTTCTGGCTTTCTGCCTCACTAAGTGATCTCCTCTTCTGTACATGAAAGGAAATCTCCTTTCCATTTCTCTGCTATATTGTGACCTAGCCAAAGGAGCCCTGACTAGAGGCCAAACAGATGAGGCCACTCAATCTGGAACTTTTGACCTCTAAAACTTCAAGATAAATAAACCTATTTTATTTATAAGGTACCCAGCTTCAAGTATGTTGTTACAGCAACAGAAAACAAACTAATATAGTGCTGAATTCAGTTAGTGGAGAAAATAGGAGGAGGTTGTTGTTGGTCGTGTTGGTGGTGGTGTTGGTGGTGGTGATGGGTGGTGGTGGTGTGTGTGTGTTGGGGGTTAGTGATGATTGATACTGAAGATGATGGATTGTTTGAGAGTTGCTGAGTGAAATTGTAGCAAGTCATAGTTCCAAATATTTCCAGCAAACAGTGTGGATAGGGACATGGGAGGGAGATTAAGAACTAGAGATGAAACAAACAAATGACAGTATAAGGTTATAGGCAATGAAGTGTAAAATATATTGCAGATCAAAACTCTGAGGCTGAAAGTGCATTAAGGATGGAAGTGATAGGGCTTGAGCTGAATGCTGAAAGACAGACAGGCTGTGGACAGGCCCAGAATAAGGGGAGGGACAATCTAAGTCATAATAATTGGTTGGGAAAAAAGACACCATGAAGGTTCTCTGGTAGAACAGAGCAGAGGGAGCTTGGGGGATAGTACAATAGATTAACATAGTATAATGAAAATTTCTCGTTGGGAAAGTTAGATGAGCAATAAATCTTTGCTGACCTGAATTCTTTTTCAACCCAACTCTTTGCCACTTCTACAAAATAGTAAGCCAAAATCTATCTAGGATGCTGCAGAGGGACATTATGAATTCTAATGCTTGTTTTTTTCCTGTTTAGTCTAGAAAATATTGTCATTTTTTATTCTTTACATAAACTCTGTTCTG